CCTTTCTAACCTTTTCTTTTAAGCAGTGTGTAACGTCAACATCTTAATTATGCCATTACTTTCTCTTCGAATTGCATATGTTATCCATTTTAGTTTGTTTTGGTTGATTTTGTTTAGCGGCATATCAATCTCTATGGGTTATTTAATACCGAAATCTAAAAATTTGTTATGCAATTTTATGGCTTCAGCTACATATATTTTGTACATAATGTTATGCTTTCAGGGTAAGCGTGTGTTTTATAAATATATAGTTTGAAGATGATGAATTGTATTGTTGCTATTTTTAAAATATATTGCTTGTAATTTCACTACAAAAATGTATTGTTGGTAAATCTTTTATAAAAAATGTATGGCTGGAGTAATGGATATCGCCTCTGAATGAGAATTCGGAGAGCCGAGTTCGAATCCCAGTCGTGTTTGTTATATTCATTTACGCATAAATACTCTTGGGAAAGGTATAAATCCACCTCTTCTCCAACCCTCCCCTCACCCCGGGTTGAATAGCAGGGCAGACTGAGTTGGCATACAATCTACTGCAGCCTACTAGGGGAAAATCTTCTGCCTCGTTATTTATGTATCGAAAGATACATGATCACCCAAGCGTGTGGCACTTAACTGACTGAGCGGTGGTAATTTTACTATAAAATGTATTGTTGGTCATTTTATTTTAAAATGTATTGTTGGTAGTTTTTTTTTTGTTTTTTTTTTTTGCATAAAAATATACCGCTGGTAATTTCATTATAAAAATGTATTGTTGGTAATTTTTATATATAAACGTATTGCTGGTAATTTTACCATAATTGTTGGCAATTTTTTCCTAAAAATGTATTGATTGTATTCTTACTATAAAAAAAATACTTTTCTACTTTCCTAATGTTTTGACTTTTGTTTGCTGGGATCCTAACAAGTGCTACCACTTGGGGTCAGGGTGAATTTGGAAAGAGCAGCAATTAAGAGGTGGCTAAATGCTCCTCAAAATCTCCAATATCCCGATCAGAAACCTTGCTGCCGGATGTAGTTTATTGCCATACCCAGGAACATTATCCATTTTAGTTGTTGCTGCTATCAAATGGCCTCAAGTGGTGAAGTTTCTATTATTTGGTACAGATCTTAGTGATTCTTTAGCATTAGTCAACGGGGTTCGAAGCAAAGATGGTCCTCGCTAACACCTACATGCTTCATTTACTCGAAGCCATTTTTATTCATTGCATTAAGAAAGTGTTTATACACTGCTGATAGTTTAGACTAGCAGCATGGCCCGGCGTTGCCCGTGCTTGATTCAAAAATCGTACGACTCATACAGCAATCGCTATTACTTGATTTAAAATATTTTTGCTCTTCCTTGCCTTTAAAGGAGTGCCCTTTTCCGTGCTGATGTTGTTACATGCCTTACTTCTTGCCTATCTCACACTGCGAATTTTTTCTAAGCTCTATACTAAACATTAAATCTGTTACGAAAAAAGAACTAAACAAAATGAACACAAAACGATCAGTTTTAAAAAAGGACTCGTAACTGGAAAAACCGAATGAAAAAAGAATGTTAACAACAAATACTTTTTCACACCCAACCCAGTTCTGCGGAATTAGAATCAACGTTGAGTTTAAGCAAGCGAATGAGCCAATTGGAGTAAAGTGCCATGCAGATTTACATTTATCCCACTTGTGACGAATGCAGCTATCGATTTTTTTTTGCATGCTAGCATGCTAGTTAACATTCGTGTCAGCCAGCTATAGGCTCTCACTCTGGCCAGTAGAAAATGGCCGCAAACTACATGAAAACTGCCGTAGAAGCATGAAAAAATCGATTATTTTCCCACTATTGATGGGAGTTGGGAAATGCAAAGTCGGTCTTGGCCTTCCTACTAACTTGGAGCATGTGCATGTAAATTTTGGTGCAAATCCGTCAAAATTGCGGCCGCGCATTCGTTACACACGCACACACATCCTGCTTTTATAGATAAAGATATTTCGGAACGAATTTGGCGCCATGATTATGAGAATTTTGATCGGACAAAGTTATTTACGGAGGTTAGCAACTATAATATACACCCGGCGAGGGCCGCAGATACAGTTGTAAATGCCTGTAAATTTACCGACTACAATATTAATACCAGACTACATCTGATTTCCACTGCTATCGTTTTTTCTAATCTTTTGTTTAAATTAGTGTGGAACGTCAGCATTTCGATTACTGTATATACTCGCGTATCATACGACTTTTGAAGACCTAATTTTAAAGATAATTTTAAGGGGGTCGTATCATATACGTGATATAAAATTAGCGTCCTTATTGTTGACTCTTGCTACGCCGTTGACCAAAATATATCTCTTTACTGTAGTCAAAAAGTACAGTTGTATTTAAAATAAACATGATTTTGATAAAACTGATATTTTATTTAACTGTATCCAATAATAATGCATGTAATATTCACATATTAGTATCGTGTCATATACAAATATAGCGAATATAATCTTTTCCATTGTTTACGTTGATAAGATGTTTAGCTGTTTCCCGTTCGACTGTTTACGCAACGAGTATAGCGTTACTAAGGATAATTTTATCATTCTCTTTTACTTATTTAACTAGAAGATGGGATAAAGAGATAGAGGAAAAAAAGACTAGTCTATTGTAATTTGGTTTCTCAAAAAGGAACTCGTAGGATACAAGAGATACATGATAAAATCATTTTTTATAAGTGAAAATTAGGGGTTTGCACGATACGCGAAATCACGCATTACATGAGTATAAACAGTATATCATTATTTTCTCATTGTTTCTGTTATTTGGTAAGTTTCCCTGTTTGTGATTTTGTAGCGCCAATCTATGAAATCTGATGAAGGATAGTTTTTCTATAAAACCTACTGGGTTCATTTGCTCGAAGACATTCTTATCGTTGATGTCAGAAGGCAGTTGGATAGATCTCATAGTTTAAACTTAGACAATCTCATATATTATTCTTATCGCAATTTCCTATAGTAAAGCCTATTAGTAATACATTTCTATAGTAAAATTCATTAACAATGCATTTTTATAGTAAAACCTATTAGCAAAACTTATTAACAATGCATTCCTATAGTAAATCAGATTACAAGTAATAATGCATTTCTATTCTAAAATTCATTAATAAAGTTTCTATATAAATCCCATTAGCAATGCTTTTCTATTTTAAATCCGATTACTAATGCAAGTCTGTAGTAAATTCCATTAATAATACATTCCTATAGTAAATTCTATTATAAGTAATGTTGCATTTCTACTTTAAAATCCATTAGTAAAGTATTTCTACTTCCATTAGCAATGTTTTTTTTTATTCTAAATTCTATTACTAATTCATATCTATAGTTAAACTCATTAGCAATGCAATACTATATTAAAATACATTAACAATGGATTTATGTAGTAAATCCCATTAAGAGTAATAATGCACTTCCATTTTAAAACCCATTTACTAAAGCATTTCTATACAAATCCCATTAGCAATGCTTATCTATTCTAAATCTCATTACTAATGAAAATCTATAGTACAGTGGAACCTCGGTTCACGAATTTAATTCGTTCCTGAAGGCCGTTCGTAACCCGAAATGTTCGTAACCCGAAACTATTTTTCCAGTAAGAGAAAAAAAATGTAAAGAAAAAAGTCTCAGTACAATAAAATTGGAAAAGAAAAACACAGCACAACACACGAATGTATACAACAAGGCGGTCGCCTCAGAAATTATTCTGTTCGGGTTAACTCGGTTAGGCAATGTTGTTCGAGAACCGAAATTTTATTCGATAACCGAGGCATTTTCATCTCGAATTTTCTGTTCGAAAACCGATTTGTTCGACATGTGAGACGTTCGAGAACCGATGTTGCCCTGTAAATCTCATAAAGAACACATTTCTATATTAAATCCCATTATAAGTAATAATGTATTTCTACTCTAAAACCCATTAGTATTTCTATATAAAACCCATTAGCAGTGCTTTTCTATTCTAAATTTCATTACTAATGTATATCTATAGTAAAACCTATTAGCAATTCAATACTATAGCAACGCAATACCTATAGTAAATCCCATCACGTGTAATAATGAATTTCTATTCTAAAACCGATTAGCAATGCATTTCTATATAAAATATATTAGCAGTGCTTTTCTAGTGTAAATCCCATTACTAATGCATTCATATAGTAAATCTTATTAGTAATGGATTTTATGTCTTAAGGATTCTTTGTTGTATAATTCGAAACAAAAGTGAGAAAAATAAAGAAAAAATATATCTGACCTTTCTCGCTTGAACCAAATCTACCCGACAAACGTATGACGATATCTATTTGTTAAGAGATAGGTATGTAAACATTTAAATATTTAAGAGATTTGCAAGTAATAGATTAGCTGCAAAGAAATCTCTGCTTTTATTTAAAGCAATTTTCCCTTTTCTTTTCTTTCTCTGACACTTTCTCACCTATCACGTAACATCAACCCTAATAATATTACAGGCTTCAGTACCTAATAGCCTCGTCCACTGATTTAGTCTCTTAGTACAACATCTGTTGAGTAAGTGGTTGCAAATGACAATGGTGAAGGTTTTAAGAATAATAATAGTTATAAGTCGTGGTCGAAAGAATTGTTCTTGTCCGATGGATTCGAAACAAGTGGCAATAACAGACTTGTTGCTTTTTGTTCCCAGTGCGACACTGAAGATTAGTGAAGGAAAAAAATGCACTTCCCTAAAAGAGAAATTACTTTTTCAGCCAGCGATAAGTATTCACACCAATTCCAACTTTGAAACTCCGAATTCATTCACACGCAGATAGTGTTACGTGATACGCACGTATCCAGATGGGAGGAGACTTCCAATATGAACCGCTCGTACAAAACAAAATGAACGACGCATAAGCATCACCCCCCACCCGTTGTTGAATAGCAAAAGACGCCTTCTAAAAGCGAAGCAAAGTACTAAGTAACAGGACATTTTCGTTGGAATACTAAACTGTTATGTAATACCAGGCCTCCTCTATGGCCACATCACGTTTAAAGTACCAGTTCCTGTATGGTCACCAAAGTTAAGCAACGTCAAGTCTGGTCAGTATCTAGATGTGTGACCGCTTGGGAATACTAAGTGCTGTAAGCTTGGATGTGCAAGTGGTGTAATGGATAAAAACTTGGAATTGTTATTTGGAGAACCGAATTCCAATTTCCATTGTGTTCGTCATATTTACTTACGCACAAATATCCTTAGGAAATGATATGAACCCACCTCTTCTCTCCCAGCTATGGGTTAATTAGTGGGACTTGTATCACCAAAACCCTCACTAGCTGAAAAAAATTTTTACAATCTAAAAATATTTTCTGTATTTAAATAACTTCCGTTGGGTTGATAAACCGTAAAAAACGAATTAGTCAATCAATCTATGGCAGCGATTGTTGGACAATCTCCTCACATATGAAGATGAGATATGAGACAACAGAAATGTGGTTCTACAGAAGGATGATGAGAATGAATCCCATGCTGAAAATCTCATGGACTGAACATGTGAGTGTCGATGAAGGAAAATTGAGATAAAAAGAACGCTGATAGTTAAAATCAGAAAGAGGCAATTAAAATTTCTAATGAGGAAAGAGGGCTTGGAAAATTTGATACTCACATGGCATACTGAAAGTCAAGAAGGACAGAGAAAAGCAACGAGTAACCTACCTAACGGTCACCTCGACGTGGTGTAATGGTTAGCAAGCTTGTCTCGATAGAACCATGACAACTGAATAGTAAGTCCGGGGTAAGACGATAAACTACATCCGCGTCCTGAGTAAGACGATAAACTATATCCGCGTCCTGGGTAAGACGATAAACAACATCCGCGTCCTGGGTTAGACGATAAACTATATCCGCGTCCTGGGTAAGACGATAAATTACGTCCAACAGCAAGGCCCCTAAGGAGAAGGTTTTGAGGAACGTGAAGCCACCTCTTAATTGCTGGTGTTCCCAGCTCCATCCTGACCCGTGGTGGTAGCATCTGTTAGGGTCCTAGCTATGGGCAAATAGTTAACCCCAAACTTGGATCAAAACACAATGAAACTGTAAAAACAGATTTTAATACCAGATATTCTTTGCAAAAAAATATTACAAGCAATACATTTTTTAAATATTACCAGCTATACTCATTTGTAGGAAAATTACCAGAAATAGATTTTTGAAAAAAAAATATTACCAACAATAAAAATTTTGTCGGCCTTAAATAACCCATTGAAGTTGATATGCCTTAAAACAAACCAAACCAACTGAGTAGTGAGTTCGATCCTCACTGGGTGCCCCATACTTTCGGCCTTGTGTCACATCTAAGTTGTGCTTAGAATAGTGATTTTCTAAGCCCGGCTTAGATGTGGCACATCTGTTAGTATGGGGCACCCAGTGTGGACCGAACTCACTACTCAGTCATAATTGTTCTAGCGAGACAAGCTTGTTAACCATTACACCACGTCCAGGTGCCCAAGCTGTGCTTAGAATATCATTTAGCCACAACTGATGTATGTTAACACAATAAATTTCGAGTAACCTACCTAACCAATGAATAGCAGAATAGAAATTAAGAAAGATAACAAAAAAAAATTTACTAAAAGCTACAAACGACGGGAAGTTGTGGGGAGCCATGATTGCCTACACCTTGAATGAACACAGAACATAGACGAAGAAGGCAACTAATTCTAGATTAATTTTTCCCTCTTTAATGTTTTACTAATAAGTGTCAATCGATAGTCAGTTAATAAAAAGAGGAGCATTCCCCAATCTAAGTATATTCCCATAAGAATATACTGGCTTGGTCTGGTTTATTTTGTTTTACGGTATATCAACTTCAATGGGTTATTTAATGCCGACAATATTTTTAGGATAGATTCATATGAATAGAATATGTATTCTTTGGTTTAGATTGGTTTGGATTATTTTGTTTTACGGCATATCAACCTCAATGGGTTATTTAATGCCGACAACATTTTTAGGATAGATTCATATGAATAGAATATGTATTCTTTGGTTTAGATTGGTTTGGTTTATTTTGTTTTACGGCATATCAACCTCAATGGGTTATTTAATGCCGATAACATTTTAGGATAGATTCATATGAATAGAATATGTATTCTTTGGTTTAGATTGGTTTGATTTATTTTGTTTTTACAGTATATCAACCTCAATGGGTTATTTGATGCCGACAGTATTTTTAGGATAGAATCATATGAATAGAATATGTATTCTTTGGTTTAGATTGGTTTGGTTTATTTTGTTTTACGGCATATCAACCTCAATGGGTTATTTAATGCCGACAACATTTTTAGGATAGATTCATATGAATAGAATATGTATTCTTTGGTTTAGATTGGTTTGATTTATTTTGTTTTACAGTATATCAACCTCAATGGGTTATTTGATGCCGACAGTATTTTTAGGATAGAATCATATGAATAGAATATGTATTCTTTGGTTTAGATTGGTTTGGTTTATTTTGTTTTACGGCATATCAACCTCAATGGGTTATTTAATGCCGACAACATTTTTTATTGCTGGCAATATTTTTCCTTCAAAATTGTATTGCTGGTAATAATGTTTTTCAAAAAAGTATTGCTGGTAATAGTTAACTATTTGCCCATAGCTGAGACCTTAACAGGTGCTACCACCCTGTGTCAGGGTGGACTTGGGAACATTAGCAATTAAAAGGTGTTTCCACGCTCCTCAAAACCTTCTGATCAGAGGCCTTGCTTCTGGATGTAGTTTATCGTCTTACCCAGGACGCGGATGTAGTTTAACGTCTTACCCAGGACGTAAGAATATACTGGATAATGCAGAATGTAAATTGTCAATTTGAGTAGAGAGTCATCCAATGGGAAAAGCTAAGACAGCCTATCCAGTCCGTTCTTAACCTTTGAGAATAGTAGTATCGAGCTACTCAGTCAAGTCTTATCTCGTTAGGAGAATTAATGTTTTCACGCAACACGAAGAGCGGGCAGGGACAATTCCTCACTCGGGTGTATATCTATATTACTTTCAGGCCAGACAGTATTTACTATTTCGGTAAATCTATGATCTATTATCGTTTTGATTTCATTCGTTCTCATGCTTTTGCGTTCTGCTGCTATTACTCATCAATCTCTTTTCATACATATTCGCATAAACTGCCAGCGAATACGGTCGTTAAGCTCAATTTCCAATCATTTCTCATTTATGGATTTTCAAATTATTTACAAAGAAAAAAAGTAAATAAATAAGGGAATGATTTACATTATTATATTTACATTGTTCGGACTGTTGTCTTCGTCTTTATTGCCATATTCACGACGTTTCGGCCGTTGTACGATTCGGCCTTCATCGGGTGATATACGTTGAAATTTCGATCTAAACCCTTCATTTAGTGCACAGGGGTAGATTTTTATTTCTAATTTCATGTCTTTTTTTTTAGGGGGGGGATATCTTAGTTTCAATTAATTCCCTTTCATAACTCAAAACTCTCCAGGTTTTTGTTCACTCTGCTGTGGTCAGGCATTGAACTCACAACTGTTTTAGTCAAGACATTTTCTGTGTTATTCAACCAACTCTTTTATCCATGTGAAGAAGGCCAGAGTGTATACAACGGCCGAAACGTCGTGAATACGGCAAAAAAGATGAGCATAACTAGCGTAAATAGTTTCATAACTCATCTGAGAAATATAGACAAATAAGAGGAACTAACCTGTAATTAGGAATTCATTTTATTTCTTCTGTAATGAGCAGTGAATAGTAGTTCGATAAAAAATACATAAAAAGTATAAACTAAAAATAGAAAACGCAAGGAAGTTAAGTTACAGAAGAGACAATAACTAAACTCAGTTATTAAGCAAGCGAACCGAAAATATGAAAATTATTAAATATTAGCTTAAAAGCCGCCCTATTTAATCAAGCACCTGCGGAGGGCTCTTGATTGAGCCTTCATCACAAAAGGTAGGTAAGAATAGATGCGATAGGGCACAATAAACTACAGAACTCAAAATTGATCGCTGCATTTATGTATTGCATTAATATTTAAACTTACCTTTTAAATGTTCAGCGATAATTGTTTTGCTGCCACTTAATTTAAAAACAATTTGATGTACGTAGGTCCTTACTTCCCGTACAAACAATTATTTTTTATTTCAGGGATCACTTTCGCTGGATTTCGCAATTAATTTCGATTATTCCCAAATTTATTTCGAAGTTATAAAAATTGTTATCATACAAAATAAAATAAAATAAAATAAACTCGTCGCAAAAAAATCACATTAAAAAATTGCCGAAAACAATGGCAGTAATAAAAATTTGGTAATCCAAAATTTAAGAATTGCGGGTCCGGATTCATCCCGGAATGTTTTTAATTTGCTCACGGGGTCAGCATGATTCCAAAAAAATGGTATGATATGTTAAGCTACGGCCTCTGGGGGTAAAGTTGAAAACACGAACAATTTTATTTTGAAACACTGTAATATGAGAACAGTATTTTTTTCATTTGAACATGAGCTATTAGAAGTTACACAGTTGTGTCCCTTTAATTGTTTTTGTCATTAGAAGCCAACATGGCGGAATCCGAAAACAATCGCAGTAATGAAAACTTGGGAATTCAAAATTTCAGGATTACAGGTCCGAATCCGGCCTGAATATTTTAATTTGCTCATGGGGACGGCCTGATTCCAAAATGGTTACGTATATGTTGGGCTACGGTCTCTAAGAGTAAATTTGAAAAAGTGTGACACAGTGAATTTATTATATGGATAACATTTAATTTATGAAAAATCATTATGTTCTAAATCAAACGACTACAATTAAAAGTGATTAATTATTTAAATGAGACAATACATGAACATTTTAAACTTAATGGATATGCTATTTATAAACAATCAGTATGTTGATTATATGAGTAATATACATGAAAATAGCACAAGCGAAAATTAGCTGTAAATATACAATGAAGCATTTAAAATAATTCCATTTTGCAGTAATGCAGGACATTTGGAAAATGAAAATATTGAAATAGCAAACCCATTTGTGACCCTCTCACTTACGGCCAACGAGCCTTAGGTTGACGTTAGTTGAAGATTGATTTTTCTCGCTGGTGAGGTGGTGGAGTCATCGGCG